TTAGTAAATTTTGTCAAAAATCAACACTTAAGTATGTAAAAAGTTACTCGCTAATTTCCTAAATTAGTACATATAACCATATTCTCATATATTTATTGTGTTCACAATATTGTTAAAACTAATATATTATTCAATTAAATCTTCAGTTAAGCATTAACGTAATATAATTATCACTATCAACAAAGATTATATTTTTAGGAACACTTTAGGAACGAGTGACACACACGAGTCACGAACTCGGCGCCGCTGATGATTCGGCAGATTTTTTGCCGAAACCGAAACTATTACTGAAACTAGATTTTTTGGCGAAACTTGCCGAAACTGAATTCGAAACCGAATCTTCAGTCGGTTATTAGTTTCATTATCATCATCATCATCATCATTACAACCTTTCATAAGTCCACTGCTGAACATAGGCCTCCCCCAAGGAATGCCATAAAGCACGGTCCTGAGCCACCTGCATTCATCGACTTTCTGCATGTCTTACCAGGTCGTCACTCCATCTCGTGGGGGTCGCCCTACACTTCGCCTACCGGTACGAGGCTGCCACTCAAGAACCTTTCTTCCCCATCGGTTGTCGGTTCTTCGAGCTATATGGCCGGCCCATTGCCACTTCAGCTTACTAATCCGCTGGGCTATGTCGGTTACTCTGGTTCTACTGCGGATATACTTATTTCTAAGTTTATCACGCAGAGAAACCCCGAACATAGCCCTATCCATAGCTCGCTGAGCGACCTTGAGCTTCCTCATCCGGCCAGCAGTGAAGGACCACGTCTCAGATCCGTAAGTCAATACTGGCAAAACGCACTGGTTGTACAATTTCGTTTTAAGGTTTTGAGGTATGTCTGACGAGAAGATGTGTCGTAGTTTCCCGAACGCTCCCCAGCCGAGTTGAATCCGTCGATTGACCTCGCGGTCGAAGTTGGACTTACATAGTCGGACTATTTGTACCAGGTAAACATACTCGTTAACAACTTCGAGCTTAGTGCTCCCAACAACTACTGGCATAGGTGTAACATGGACATCAAACATAATCTTTGTTTTGTCCATGTTCATCCTAAGACCTATTCGTTGGGAGACACTATTGAGGTTACTGAGCATGGTGCTTAGGTCCTCTAGCGATTCTGCCATAAGGACTATATCGTCGGCAAATCGAAGGTGAGTGATGTACTCGCCATTGATGTTAATACCGTATCCTTTCCAGTCCAGAAGCTTGAAAACGTCTTCCGATGCAGCGGTAAAGCGTTTCGGGGATATAACATCACCCTGTCTTACACCTCTATGCAATTGGATAGTTTTCGTACTCTGGTTCTGTACTCGTATAGCCATCGTAGCTCTACTGTACAAGCACTTCAGCACTTTGATATACCGACAGTCAACTTGGCACCGCTGAAGGGAGTACAACACCGCCCAAATTTCGACGGAATCAAAGGCTTTCTCATAGTCCAAATTCCCCAGACATAGTGGCAAATTGTAATCCTCGGACTTCTGTACAATTTGCCGAAGGGTATGTATGTGGTCTATGGTGCGAAACAAGCCGGTTTCCGAAAGGAAACCGGCTTGTTTGGGAGACTGGAAGTCGTCAAGTCTGCGCGCGATTCATTAGTTTAAGTATATATTTTGCGACTATTTTGTACATCATATAAGATAATTTTATGATATATACGAGTACATATTTAGCGGTCGATAAAATCGATCGCTAATTATGTAGAAGTCGATAATATCAACCTCCTGAGAGCCCTTCTCTATGTGACCATGCTAATCTCAAAAACTATGACGGGGATTTTCAGTCTGTTTTCACCGTTAGACAGACTGAACCATGGAGAAGGTTTTGGGTATATAACTTGAAAATATTTTATATTTAGCTAATTTCATAAGATCTTCCGTCTTGTGAGTATATATATTATATGTAATATTTATATATATATAATTTATGGTGAAATTGCTCTTCAACATTCTATGTCTATCTATTAAGATTAATTTGCAATAACAAAAAATAAAGTTTTAAATATACTTACATGTAGAAAACTTTTTTCCAGTTTTTTTTTAATAATTATAAGTCATATTATTTGACTATTATCCCACCTGTATCAATGTATAAAACTTGCTTCTTTCGGTTAGACTTAAATGGTTTTAAGAGTATGTACTTAGAGATTTGTCGTGATCAATTTTTCTCTTTATTTTGAGGCATTTAAGATTCAATCTTGTTCAACCTAGAGAACCAGTTCAGCCGTAGATACTTGTTATGTGCGCGAAAAGAAAGTTCCCTAGATGAAATCAATTTGTATTACATATATATATATATATATCTAAATTCTGGTCTTTTGTTAATGGAAATGGATTTTAATCAAACAGATTGTACTAGTAATTAATTATGGTAATAATCTACAAAGCTACTTAAATAGTTACCAGACATTATCATATCATTATCAGAGATAGCTAAGAAATATAACAAAGAAATATAAAAAAAAACTGTAGAAACTTTGAAGCAATTGCTAATAATAATAATTTAATTTTGTGATTTATATAGTAGATATTTTATTTTCGAGTCATCATTGAAATTATTGCAATTTTCGGTACTGATTAACCATGTGCTCGTCGGTGAGATAAAAGACTGTGAGAAGTTATATTTGAGGACAAGGTGAAGGCCTCCAAAACGCACTTCAGCAGCACAGTGGACTAATACACAACCCTCTTAGAAATGAGACAGGGCCTGTGCCCAGCTTTGAGAAGTATTTAACTTGAAGATTTTTATTTTATTTATTTTAAAGCTACGCAGGCTACTTAATTAGACAGTAATGTCCCTAAAATACTATCCTCTACTATTACTATCTTCGCCTTTTGTCGAAGTTATGTGACTTTAATGTTGAACGCTTCCGGAAATGCGATAGCATCGTAGGTCAATTATGTTATTATTATGAAGTATAAGTATTTATAGTTTGTGTGATAATATATCCTCAACAATCATACAAAAAGTATGTTCTTTTTTAATTATTCTAACAATAAACGTAGATTAATTTCCGAATAATAAATGATTATTTAAATGGTTGCTTGTAAGGAAGTCTTATATATTTCCCCTCATGTTGGTAGATTTTGATGTCCTTGATAAATAATGTTCTTTTACAACTTCAATTTGGACTAGTACACTATTAGGTGCTAGTATTTATAAAAAAAATATTAAGCTATTATATCAATGATCTAAACATTCATTATTGAAATGGACTGAGCTAGGATGGTTTGTAATTTAATAAAAAGGGTGTGGGAGCTATTTGGTCCCTCCTCACTACTTCCCCTTTTTAATTCTATATATACCTACGATTTTTGTTCAGAAAAATATAGAATAGATTGTAATGAAAATATTATCACATGTTCATTGTATAATTAAGCGTCGAATGTAATTATTGGTTTAGATACTATATCATTATTTCTGTATACTTTAAAATAGTTCAGTCGTACAAACGTAAAAACATATACATACATAGAAATTCCTGTTTTTACAGAATAAGGGTGTCAAATGAGCTCACAGTCTACCTTATAGTATGTGGCACACACATTTACATCTATCTTCGACTATAAATCAAAAACAAGATGCGTTGTCACCCATAAGGCGAAAAATATATTATATTATCTTAAAGACTAACATAGAATTCCCCGTTTCCATTAAAAAGGGTCTCCGACTCTCTACACTCATACGTAACACAGCAGCATTGCGCAGTTATTTTACGCTGGTATTTTGTGAGCGCGGCCCTTCCCCGGTCTAGCCGATCCATTATGCTGCGACCATAATATAGCTGCAGCGTGTAAGAATGAATTGAATTAAGAAGTTTATGAACAATAGAAGTGTCTGCATAGATTTCAAAACGTGAAGGGATATTGAGATATAGAGTTTTATTTATCTGTCCCATTAGAACAATTTGCAAAGGGAGACTTAAATACTACGAGACAATTTATTTATCAATGATTATGTTTAATATTGATTTGCAATACTGATTATTCATTAAACACTTAACATTATAAAAATAGGTATATGCATATCTACTCCACACATTTTTTTTAAATTGTAACGGAAAAATAAAACAAGGGTCATTCGCTTGGGTGCGACAGACTGTCATCGATCCGGTATTTTCCCACAAGTATCGATTTTGTGCACAAATTGCAAATATACAATACAATCGCCGCAATGTACCGCGCGTTTATCGATTACCGGTTCAAAGCAGTTACAAGTGGAAATGTAAGCATTATCTGATATATTAGGAGATTGGTGAATCACCTGTATCACATGTAATAGGTATTTGATAAGGAGTAATCTATTATGACTTTATCATTATTCTTTCACTGCTAAACATAGGCCTTCCCCATCGATTCCCACAAAGTACGGTCCAGAGCCACATGCATCAACCAACTACCTGCGTTTTTAATCAGGTCGTCACTCCATTTCATGGGGGATCGCCCAACACTGCGCTTGCCAAAATAAGGCTGCCACTCGAGAACATTTGCTTATTCAGTTTACTGATACGCTGGTTTTTTTTTAAAAATATGATAAGGTAACAAACCGGCACACAGTCCATCTTATGGTAAGTGGTTTCTGTGACCCATAGACATCTACATCTATTCTCAATAAAGAATCAAAATGCAGATGCGCTGTCACCCGTGAGGACTAAGATAGAACGTCTCGTTTCCGGTAAAAACGGTCTCCGGTTCTCTACACTCACCATACGAAACACAGCAACGTAAAGCTACTGTTTTACGTTTGTATTCTGTGAGGTATTCTGTAAAGTTTGATAATATTAGTCCTTACAGATTTCGGGATTGTTTTATCACCGTCTGCGTCTGTCTCGTTTTCTGTAAAAATTGATATTTACATTCAATATCGAAATATGATATTATTATTTTCACCAGTCCAAACATTCGTAATTGTACAATAGTTTTAGTAATATAAGTAGTTAAGCAATAATTAACCTTCTCTTTCGATATATATATTTGAAATTTAATTGTTACAGATGCCCCGAATGATGCGAATTACATGATATGCGGTGTTGTGATTGCCATGGCCCTTGTGGGGCTTATTATAGTACTGCTGGCCTTAACGATAAAGTAAGTATCAACAACATCTGTCCTTCTTTATATAAAGATCGTAATAGTATATTTAAGTCAATGGAAAACGTATCTTAGATAAGTTGTTCTTCCTCTTTAACGGTCTTTTTAATACACTGCTGATTATAGGCCGTTTTAATAATGCGCGTATTAAATTGCCTTCACTTTATACTTACTTCTTGTACAACCAATATTATTATACTGGTGACGTTGCTTCAATCATCAGTTGGTGGAAATTGGGATTTCCGAATGTATAATATAACATAACGCAAGGTCGCTTGCCACAGCCACGATGGTTGAATAACGGAGAACACCACGCTTATGCACCGTTAATGTGTATTTAAAAAAAGTTGTTACATCCCTCTTACATCACAAGCAACAAGTATTTTAGAAGTGTGTGATATTTATTGTTTTCAAATAAATAATAAGGCCATTTACATTTTTCAAAATCATTACACATTTGAAAATCCCGTCAACATCGGTCCAGCCGTTTCAGAGATTAGCCGGAACAAACAGTCAAAACTTTAAAAATTGTATTTTTGTTATTAGTACCGTATATACTTTCATAAACGTTTAGTAATAAGCTGTAATAACAAACAGACACTTCAATTTTATTTATTTGTATAGATTCTAAATTTTAAGCATATCTCAATATATAAATAAAAAAAAACAATGTAAAAAATAATTACTACAGATATGAGAGAAAACCAAGCAAAATCTAACTACGTGCAATTAAAACGTTTGGCCAAGAAACGGCAACTGCAAATTTCGAACAACGATTAACAGCAACCGTTAAAAAAAGCAATAAAATGAATTAAAGATGAGAAAATAACTGCTTCATTCAAGATCCGCATTCTCAAATAAAAAAAAGCTTTTTATATTAGGCAAAATACATTAAAATTATATTTGCGTGCTGATTTAAGCAATTTCAAATTAAATTTTAACTAAATATTTTAGATTTTCGCAAAGTAACGCATGGTTCTGTTAAATGCTGAAATTAAATCGCAAAATGAAAATATTATTAATAAGTCTTAGTCATTTTTTATCAAGCTAAAGATGTAACGTAACGTTATTAACTGTTTATTCTTCAATGGACCTTTTCTAATATTGTTTTAACTGGAATACACGACAAATTATTTACTTCACTATAATATACTAGATTAAGGTTAGAGATACCATATGTCAGGACAAATCCTGACATATGGTATCTGGTATCTTTAACCTCAACCTGGTATTTCTTTCAAGATTTTGGTCGAATTTTGGAAATGTCTGGCTTTTCGATTTTTAATAAAATAGCTTTATAAAAGGTTTTTGCGTGCGACGTGTATTGGTCGCGAGGTCCAATTTAACTACAAAATAAAATTTAGACCTAATTATTTTAACAATCATAACACTGAATATAGATACACAGAACCTTCCAAAATAATAATATTTTGATTTAACTACATTAACTGTACGGATTAGAATAAATCAAAACACGACTACGGAGATTGTGCCAAAATACGTCTTCATAAATCGCGTCTTGCTCAAGTGGTTAATGTTGTTGCAGAGTAAATATTTTAAATGAAACGGTCATTTATATCGTATCTATTTCATCGCCCTTGACGTTTAAACTAACAACTTTATTTCGAGAATTTTCGGAAAAGTATGTCTTCAGTAACATCGCTAATAAACCGAATATGTCCATATTTATATTGATATGCATATGCGATGCATTGAGACGTTTGGCAAAATGTCAGAAAGAGCGTCTTTGCAAATCACTGCATTCCCAGCCGATTGAGTAATTTCCTTTCGTCTCAGATTTGAAACGAGACATCGTAAACTGTATTCCTTTACGATACACTAATTTTCATATGCTATATTATATATTTCATAGTTTTTTCAATAGATAATATTAAGGATATTGATGCAAATTTTAAAGAGCACAAAATCAATAAATTTCTATGATGCAAGGCCTGATTCTATTAACTACGTTTGTTTGTTTCCGCTTAATTATTAAGCTACCTAACTATACTATAAAATATAAATTGACTGATATTTGGTGCATATTTACCATAATAAAAGGCTACCTTAACATCAAAATTAAATAAACAATCATTTAATTGTATATGGTACAATCAATGAATTTAAACTTCGTACGCTTTGTTCTTTCTACTTTGTAAATAAATAATTTCTGTGAAGTTTATGATTCTAAGTACATGAAGTTGGGAGTCTTTTCTTTAATATGAATTATAGTTAGCTAAACAGGTTTTCTTTACGTCGTATTCAATTAATTCACCGTTTTACATTTTGTTATATTATATAATATAGTTATTCAGTTTAGGAGACAAAGTCAATAAATTTCCGTCTGTATATTATAGAACTAGAATTGGTATTAGTTCCTGTGAGAACTGAGGTGGCCTCGCAGCTTGTAACTACACTGGCATGCTGTAATATAAACACTAGGAATACTAATACAAATATTCATATCTAATTATAAAGGAAGCATAACAGCTGTTGCATCTTCACTCTCGGAATAGTATTACATGACATTGAGTTTGCAATTCAAGTACATAAAGTACTACACTAATACTAAACAACAACATAACCGCCGTAATCATTTAAAAGATCGTCACAGATAGGGTTACCATATCTCAGGATTTTTACACTCTTCTCAGGATTGCGGCTGGATTTTGCAAATCTCATGAAATCTCAGGATTTTTAGAATTTTCAATACAATACAGCTTACATTTTAAAGATCTCTTTAATAAAAGGTTAAACAAACTAAAAATAATCTTCCTTTGGTAATATATAATTGCACAATTAAAATCAAAACTTATTTATCCAACTTGGTAATTAAACAGTTTTATCATACTTAATATGTGAAGACACCTTTTTATGTAAGGTTTTTTTTTTCAAACTGTAAAAAATCTCAGGATTTTTAAATGGCAATCAGACTTTTTCTCCGGATTTTCGATTTTTTCATCTGGTAACCCTAATCACAGATGTCTTTTTGTTCCGGCAGTTGCTAAGCACAATGACAAATCGCAGAATTCTACGTCATTGTTATCGTGATGAGCTGACGCTTCCTTCTTGTTTTTTTATATATAATTAGCCGTGTTGTTACATTATTAGCAATTTTATCGCAATAGAATAGTCTCTACATTACTTGGTGAGTATAGTCACTTGCCGTATATTGGCGGCGTTACAGAATCCACCAATTCATGGTGTGTTAAGAGGCATTCCATAGGTATCTTAAGAGGCGACAGAAGGAATTGTAACAGGCAGTATATTATTCCTATTAACTACTCAAAATAATAAAAAATGCGGTTGACTGTAGATAGCTATAGCAGATGCTCCCCTTCTCCTATGAGGGAATCTATGTGGGAGGCATATGTTTAGCACTGAACTGGTGATAGGCTGTAACGAATGAATGAATGAACATCACTTGGTTGAAAATAGAACTATTTTAAATAATTGTGACTGAAAAGTATACTAGCATATTGATCACATAGTTTCTTAATGTGTTGAAAAATTTATATGTGATAGAGCCACGCTGCAGCTATATTATGATTGTAGTAGGAATGTGTCGGTTTGACCGGAGAAGGAACATGCTCTCATAGAGTACTAGCGTACCTTTTTATTGGAATCGAGGCACTCCATCTGGTACTCAGGAGGAACGCATCTGCATTTTTAAATGTAGATGCCTATGGACCCCAGCATTAACTTACCATCAGATGTGTGCTCGTTTGTCACCCTTATTCTATAATAAAATTATTAGGCTAATTTACAAGTACACAATAAACAAATTAAGTCTATGTACAAAGGCACCTTAATATACCCTGATTGCATCTAGCTGTGGATTATTACGTTTAAGTGGTAGAGCTACGCTGCAGCTATATTAATAGTATAGTTGTAACACGAATGGGTCAGTTCGACCGAGGAAGGACCACGCTCTCACAGAACACCAGTGTAAAATAGCAGCTTAATGCTGCTGTGTTTCGTATGGTGAGTATAGAGAACCGGATACCCATTTTACTGGCATTCATCTTAGTCCTCACGGCTGACAACGCATCTGGATTTTAATTCGCAAACGAAGATAGATGTAGATGTCTATGGGCCACGGCAACCACTTACCATCAAGTGGACTGTGTGCTCGTTTGTCACCCTTATTCTATAAAAAAAAAAACGTTCACACACAATAATATCCAACATCTGCACGATGACATAACCATGCATCGCTTACAACAATTCAAGACAATCGTTTTGCTCAAGGCGATAGAATGGTTTAGTAACATTGTCGGCAGCTCCAAGGATTTAATCAAGCATTTAGTTACGTTTCACTTCTTGGCTATATTTATCAAAGTTTATTTTGTACCGAAATCGAAGAGATAGGTTTTTGTATATTTTATGAGAAGTAGTAAATTTGTTTAGACTTGTATATTTATCTGAGATTTTTAGAAACAGCAAGTTTCTATTATTACATTTAAACAAGTGTATAAAGGTTTTAATTAAAACTTGAATTAGTTTTTATTAAAATTAAAACATTATTCACAAGTATTTTACTTGTATATATAATGTAAACTGTTATAGGCCTTCGTTTAGTGTGTGGCTGCATCATGAATACGGTGGTGTAAGGAACAAGTCGATTGTATTTCTAGTTTTTCTTTTTATAGAATATGATGGAGTCCGTGCACAGTGCACACAGACCACCTGATGGTATCCTCTATTTAGAATAAAATTGTAGATGCTTTGACTGGCATCCCTGAGAAGTAAAATAGAATGCCTCGTTAACAATAAAATGGTTATTTCATTGGAATTTAACAGATTTCGGTAAATTTTGAATAATTTCTAAAACGCTAGGTGACAGGCGTGAGTGTTTATGTTATGTCACGTTATTTTTAGCATTATTTGGATGTAATTATTTTTTTTCTAATAAAATAGTTTTTATGTATTGTAGTGAACTAAATATATGGAGATTCTTTTTTATATAGTTCATAATAAAGTTGCCAAGATTTTTA